ACTACTAAACGGTATGATCCGATTTCTTTTTTCTTAACTAAAAATGCCGGAACGGTAAATTTTGAACTTACTGGTTTTACTATGTTAGCTTTTATTAATTTATTTATTTGACTCTCTAATTCGATTCTTTGTTGCGGTGACACTCTGTTTTATTCAATGGATTAGCTACTTCCAATGTACCTGTGTTCTCCATAAATTTCCTTCACACTCATTTGATACGTTTTAAATCAACAATAACCTTTATATATACCCTTTAATAATCAATAATAATAATTCTCCATAATAATATTCTCAATAATGTATGCGCTTTAATAATCAATAATATATGGCCTTTAATAAATTCACAATAATCTCAATAATATATTCACAATAATAATTCTCAATAATTCACAACATAATTTCAATAATAATTCTCAATAATTCACAATAATATATGCCCTTTAATAATCTCAATAAATTCAATAATATACTTCAAAAATAATTCAAATAACACAATATGCCCTCAAAATAATATAATAATCACAATATCTCAACATAATATACCCTTTAACAATAATAAAATTCAATAATATGCCCTAAAAAAAAAAAATTTACGACCTACTTATATATATTCAGTTTCTCAAATGATACTTCTTAGGTTTTATACTTTTGTAACATATATTGTGTAATAAATTAATTAACTGTTCACTTACAATAATGCCATGTTCTGTGATGTTGTCATTTTGTCTGATATACTGCAACGTTGTTGTTGGTTTTCTCTTCTGGAGTTATCAGCAAAGAAAAATGATCAAGTCTTCCTTGTTGATGATAGCCTTTGACGGTTGCCTCCTTGAAAAGTGTATCCTACCGACTGCGCCAAAATTGTTGAGTGCCAATATCAGATCCAGATCCAGGGTGTTATTAAAATGAAATTTACAACTCTTAAATACAATAATGTTTTATTCTGTATAAATGAAGTACATGTAACTGTTACAAAAAGTGGCTGAGTGTCGTGAAGTTGCTCAGGTCTTCATAGCTCTGGTACATCTGCCCCTGTTGGTCTTCGGACTCCCTTATATACAAGAAAATCTCTTGTTGTTGTAATCGTCAACCTTTCAATTTAGATTAGTTCTTGGAATTGTTTTCACATTTGAAACAACAATCTCCAGGATGTTATCGTCCTTACTGACAATTCTTGGAAATGCAAAACGACCTCGCCTAACAACTACTATTTTGATTTATTATGATGTTTTTACAAAATATGAATCTAATATTTCGTATACATTATAATTATTAGATCACATATATATTTATATTACTATTGCTAACACCTATAGCAATATTACAAATTATATTATATATTAGCATATCTCGTAGCTCATAAAAATTATACGAGTATTATATATATTTATATTATTAGTATATCTCGTAGCTCATAATACTATAATTATCTTTTAAATGAAAATTATTTTCTGTTTTATAAAATACATTATTTTTCACTACTGTACGTTTGTTAACTACGATATCAGTTTCGTTATTATTTAATTAAAATATACTGAGGTCTACTAAAATGTTGCTTAAAGATGGATTTTCGTCACTAGATTTCGAAGTATTATTATTTAGAGGTTCTAACACTGTCGGTATGTCAGTTTTATCAAGTGTTTGATCGTAATTGTCTTTATCTGGTTCGTCTAGTTCGTCACTTTTATGGTTTTGTAATTGTTTTATATATGTCACTGCAAGTTTTTTAAGTCCAGTATATGAAGTTGAATTATTAAAGTCGACGTTATAATAGCTTAAAAAATCTTGAAAAATTCTTGTTTGTTTAAGTAATCTAACCAAATCAATTTTTTCTGAGAAATAATATATTCGAATTTCAAAATAGTTTAAAATAGTTTTAAGAACTCTTCAACGGAAATATCTTTAAACGTCATATAAAGTACCAAGCGTAAATGTTTTAACTAAAACTGCCGAAGAAATTGGTAACTTTGAAAATCTAGAATTTTGAAAAAAATCTCCCAATTTTTTTTTCTTCAATTCGCCTTAAAATAGAGCTTAAATTTAGTTCATCGATTTTATCTTTAAATTCTGGAACCATAAATAAAATGTTTTCCTTAGTGACCTTTGCTACTTGATTATTGTTATTTCTCTTTATGTAAAATGTATAAATATAATTTTATTTCATATTTAATTTTAATTAAATTTTTTTTTCTTTTCCCTTTTTTATATATATATAATATATTCACAAGTGAGTTTACTTTTTAATAAAAATAATATATGTATAAAATAAAATATAAAATAATTGCTTTAATAATATAATAGCTTCAATACTATCATATAGACATACTACATTAAAATCTTAAATTTTTTATAACAAGCAATATTTTCTAAAAAAAAAAAATTATATTTTAATTCCAAGTCTCAATCCCTTATGTTTCGTAGAAATATTTCTCTATATTTCTAAAAAAAAAAATTGTATCAAAAAATAAACCTTAGCTTACACTTGTATTTTAATCGACCAATTTGAACCTTGGTCTCATATATATTTATGTGCTATAAAATATTAATAAACGCGTTTCAACTACTTAAAAAATTTTAAGAGGTTGAAATAAATATTTACCAATATAAAAAGAAAATTTTTTATTTTTTTAAAAATAAAAATCACGGCTTTCAATGGCCACAAAACCGTATTTTTCTTATATATATGTTACCGGCAATATAGACAATTCAGGTATTTTGCAAACTACCTAGGCTTTATGCATATTGCTGACCCATTTTAGGCAATATAAATAAAACATATAATGTTTAATATTATTTTACATATAACCTAGGTATTTTATAAAATACCTAGGCATTATGTAAAATGCCAATTTCTTATGTATCTAATTTGTTATATATCTAATTATATCTAATTATGTATATAATTTAGTCACGAGCAATATTTATACTACAACTACGTCTAAAAATAATTAACACAGAGAGGTATAAACTAAACAGAGTAGTATATTATTGATAATTTTTTACATATAAGTGTCCAAAGCTTCGGCACCTCCACCAAGTATGTAACGTGGCTGGGGAACCTAGTTACTATATTAGTTATCCAGGGAAGGTTTTCTGGTCCTTATGGATAAATTTCCCGTAACTAGGAGGTTAGAACACGGTATGTGAGATTTTATCAATAAATAATAAACACGCGTTTGATTTATAAATCTCTGTTCAAAATATATTTTTGGTTTATACTTAACAAAATGTAGATGATGGTAAACAATCCCAGTGTTGGTGAGTTCGTGTTTGTTGCTGGTTAGTCTCGAACTGCCCTTTCGATAAATGGTGCGTATTGGCCACAGGCCTATTGCCTACTACGGAATTGTCACACACACACAGGTGTCATGTAACAATAATATATATTATTGTTACACTACTTTGAGTTTATCATCATTTTTGTTATTAGTCTTTTTATATGTCTTATATATTTAATTATTTTATAAATTATTACCACTATTATTATTATTGTTAATGCTGTAATAACGATAGAGTGAATGTTGTTTTTTCTTTAACCTTATGTTTTAAGAGATTTTCTACTTCCTGATTTAAATTTGATAGTGATTTAGCGTGAAGTTTTAAGTCATTGAATTTTCTGAGTATGTCAATAGTATTTACATTATCATATGGTACATTTTGTTTCATGATTAAGTTATTAAAATTTTCGGTAAAGTTAGGTAGGTGGAAAGAAGGTAAATAATCTTTTGACAAATGGCTTTGGTTTTTATATTTTGAAATTATGAGGGTGTTTTTTGTGAAAGCTTTACAATTTGGTTTTAGGGTTAATAAGCCTGTTTGATTAATAATCGTGTTTTCCGCTTCTTCTCCACAACTAATTACTATTTCTATCGGTTCAGAAGTAGCATAGCCATTGTAACCTAGTCATTGGTTAGTATTTTTTAGGTGGTGCCAAATATCATGAACCATGGTAATTGTCTTAACTTCACAGTTGGATGGTATAGTGTTTTGCAATTATGTATAAAAATAATAACGCATGATTATTTGAAAAACATGCTTTTGCTCGACAGCATCAGTGGACTGTATATTATGTAATGTATTAAAATTAAAATGTAAAAACAAGCGAAAAAGAAAATGCACTTTTACAAAAACAAAAAAATTTAACATAACCAAAAAAACAACAGGAATAGTAAAATAGCATATCGGAGGCGTATCATGATAAATATCGTATCGTGATAAGATATAAATGATAACACAACATATAACATGACATGAGATTGATAATTTAAACAATTAGGCCCTCCGCACACGAGGCGATTACAACGCGACACGATAATTGCGCGATTTATGCGATATATGCGATACAATCAATCTGTGCGATTATGGGGGCGCACACGATGCGATTGTTGTGCGATTATTATTATCGTTGTTTACGTATTGGATGTTCGCATGTTCGCATATTCGCATGTTATCAGTCGATTACTGACGTTTGCGCAGTTCTTTGGTTACCTTTTTTAAAATGTCGAGTTCATCTAGTGACGAAGAAGCAATTGTTACGTACTATTTGTACAAAAAGTTGGTTGCTAGAAAAAAGCAAGAAAAGAATCATAGAAGGAAATTTTGGATTCATCCTTATATTCAAAGAAATAACCACTGTCGACTTTTTGTTTCGGCTAGAGAACTTCAGGAAACCGATGTTAAATTTATAGCATTTTACAGAATGTCGAAGGAATCCTACAAAGAAATTGTAGACATTATATCTCCTGCCATTTATCAGAAGAATACTAACATGAGAGAATGTGTGAGTGCAGAAGAACGAATATTAATCACATTAAGGTATGTCAATGATGTTTATAATTATAGTTTTAATAATATTTTTTAATATTTATAATATAATAAATCTTATAATATTAATTATAACCAAAAACATATCCTTATTTAACATTAGTCTTTATAATTTTAATCATAATAAAAAACATTAACTTCTTATTTAATATTAGACTTTATAATATTATTGATTATTACAAGTTTGTGTAATTTGAAATTACCGTGCTTTCGTCGGATGAAAACGAAGATAAATAAGTAGCAACTGAGGAATGACTATTCATAGGGGGAGGACTTAAAAGTATTTCGTCAATAAGTTCAATAGATTTGCGCTTATAGGTTCTCAGTTGTGAATCTGACATTGTTAAAAGATCTGGTATAAGACTATTTAGAAACTGCTTTACTGAATTTGTCCTGGCATCAGAAGCAGTAACGGTTATTTTAGCTTTTTTGCTTTCAAAATATTCGGTGAAGGCTTTGTCAACATCAGTGGAAATATTTTTATTTCTTTTTTCTCTTTTTCTTGGAGTAGATTTTGATTTTAAAAATGTCGATTCTTGAGTAGTAACACGTTCAGTTTCAGATTGTGTCGTGATTAGTGGTATGCTATTTGAAGTAGAAGGGCGAGGGGATAGTGGTAGAAGCATATCTGGTGATGAGACTGACATGATATCCGTCTGGTTTGATTCAGTATACTCCGATATATTTTCTGAGTTTTCCCACACATCAGCGTTCTCAAAATCTTTATCGGGAATAGGTGGTAAATTTCCACTAGGCATAGCACATGTTTTGACAAAAGGTAACGTGAACTGCATTGCCTCGTTCAAATAATACGGTTTTTTGGCTTTTGATCCACTTGTCGAGTTTTTGATTCTTCTTACAAACGTAGTCCTTATATTTCTCCATTTTTCTTTGCAATCGTTCACTAAAACATACATTATTATTTATTTTACAGATATTTGGCTACAGGGAGTACATTTGTGTCGCTAGGCTTGTACTTTTGTCGAGGAGAATCAACAGTTGGGCAGATCGTGGCAGAGACGACACAGATAATATGGGATGTGATGAATGGATATTGGATGTCGAAACCGAATAAGGATCAATGGGAAAGTATTGCAGAACGTTATACATTTTTGTGGAATCTCCCGAATTGTATAGGCAGTATAGACGGTAAACATATTCGAATAAAGAAATTGCCGAATACAGGTTCCAGTAATTTCAACTATAAAGCCTACAATTCAATAGTATTATTGGGATGTTGTGATGCTGATGGGCTTTTTACGATGGTAGAAACCGGATATGCAGGTAGGAACAGTGACGGTGGAATATTTCGAGCTTCAGCAATGAAATATCATATAACTCACTCACAACTTGACATTCCGTTACCTTCAAAGCTACCTCGCGATACCAATGACTGTAACTTTCCCTATTATTTTGTGGCAGACGAAGCGTTTCCATTATCGAAATATCTAATGAGACCCTACCCCAGACGGACTCTTAACAACATTAGAAGAGTTTTTAATTACCGATTAAGCCGTGGAAGAAAGACGATTGAGTGCACATTTGGTATGATGACGGAAAAATTTCAAGTGCTGAGTACTGCTATTCGTTGTCGTGATGTTGATAAAATCAATAATATCGTAAAAGCATGTTGTATACTCCACAATTTTATCCGTAAAAGGGAAGGTACTCGGTATGCAATGCGAAACTTTGAAGAAAGTACAACTTACACCACCAACTTCACTACAGATTATTCAACATCAAATGAGAGGACAGTAAACGATCAATCATCATGTTATGACTTGCGAGATTATTTATCACAATACTTTACTACTCCACAAGCATCACTTCCATGGCAATGGAATTATTGTATATAAATTAGTAACATTTTGTCTTATTTAATAAACCATTCTTCTTATTGATATTCTCTTCATATTGTTTTTATTAGATATAAAAATATAAAATAAAATATAATATAAAATATTATCATTATTTACGTATTTTATATTATTACTAGCTGCCCATGTAACTCATTATAATAACTATTTTCGGGCTGAAAAATATATAAAGAGGATTGGAAAGTCCCAGTGGTTGGCAAAAAAATAAAGTAAAATTAAATAATCAACAATTATTTTTGTTTAATACGATTGGAAATTAAAACTGAAGTATACTATTTTATAATATTATATATTTGGAACGTGTTTAGTGTTTTGTGGAATATAATTATATATGTAAATTAAAAGTTTACGAATAAAAACGATTTATTAATTAATTAATATTTATTAATTAAAATAGCATCAATTTGTATACTTACCAGATAAATTAACTTCTATTGACACGTCATGCCAAGCTTTGTCTTGACAATCTCTTCTTGAATACTCCGGCAGAGAAAAATCATAAAATTCAGGATGTTTTTCAATTTCACCAACAAATTTAATATTGAATGCCTCCATAGTTAAAATAATATAATATAAAATATATAATAAAAATAAAAATGTAATTACGCACAATTCGTGCGACGCGACTGCCAAGCGATCAGCACTGCCGGTCGCACGTGTCGTCCGTCGCTCGCGTCACAGTCGCATCGAAGTCGCGTCGTTATCAAATTGCGTCGTTAGAGGATCCCCATTTACTTTGATAAGAAATCGCTCGTATCGCATACATCGCATAAATCGTGTCGCGTTGTAATCGCCTCGTGTGCGGAGGGCCTTAATTAACAGTATAGTGTTATCCTTTTTAAACATTTGGAATTCACAGTTACATTTAATTGCACAATTTTACTATTTTGGATTTTGAATTCACTATATTAAAAAAAAACAATCATGTTTTAATCTGCGGGACGATTACTAACAATCTAGATCAGAGCGAAATGGTTAAATTAAAAGGGTGGCCCTTGTTAATAACTAACAATGAGGTTCGTCCTATTACCAATCATGAACAAGATTGGGCGGTTAAGAATATTAAGAAGTTTTTTGGTTGGCCATCCACCAAAGCAACGATTTGTTTATCACAAATAAATGATAGTAGTTGTTCAACTATCAATAATTTGTATAGAAAAACCATATTAGATTATATCAATCGGGGGGAACAAAAAATAGCCTTTGTTCTTTAGAATGGAAATATGGATATGTCCCTCTTAAACCGTTTGGATATACACTAGTGATGGGCGATTCTTGAAAGTGAATCGATTTTTTGAATCGATTTTACCTGTCGAGATGATGAGGACAAAATTTAAATCCTTTACATTACTACAATAGCCATAATTTTATACAATTATATTACAGTATTACTATAACGTTGTGTTAGGTTATTTACTAAAATACCAATCAGTGACCAATTTCAATCAATCAAATCAATTCAAATTATTTATAAATATATAATGTATTCATTGTATCGTATCGATTCTTACTTATTATTAGGCAATGTAATAGTTTACTTTACATTTGCAGTTGAGTACTACTTTATGTTACCAAGTATGTTACCAGCGAATGTTGCTTTAATCAGAAAAATTTCTATGTGACCAGCGATCACTTCATCCATCTGAAGAGGACGGTCATGGCAAGATTGATGAGACTTATTTTATAGTAGTTACAACATCGTTGCCAGTGTATTACGTATCCGCAACTAACAGAGGGACTAGGAGTACTCCACGATATTGACGACTACGGAAACCTTTATTATATGAAATCTATGGAGTTGCACATAGCGAGAAGAGCCCATAGAATATTTAAAGTCAAACACTTTGCCACTATTGACTTAAATAATTTCGTATTTTTAAGACTGATTCGGTAACCGATCTTTTGAATCGACTTTTCTTTCGCTGATTTAAAT